GCTCAGCCCAGTGAACAAAGCAATCTTATGCAAATATTTGCTGGCTTCAACCCTAGGAGATCTAAGTTGAGTAAAAGTCAATAGAAAAGACCAACAAAGGGGTGGAAACAAGAAAGAAATAAAAAAAAAGCTCTTGCACAGGGGTGATCTGAGAAGTCTGCTGCGCAGAAATCACAAACAGATGGTGTGAGAGCCGTTTACAATGTCAGGATGTCTCATACTGTAAAATACAATAAAGCCAGCCGGAACCTGGTCTCATGTTGAGTTTTGGTGGGAAATGGAAAACAGAATTAGAATGCTTCATCCTTGTTTTGTGTAACAGTCACCAGACCGTCAACCCCTGCTTTTCAGAGGAAGATGGGCTTATTTAAAAAAAAGTGTTTCTTCGGCTAGGTTGACTCCAGAGAAAGGAGGAGCCGGAAGTGGGGGAAGGGCACAGATGTCAGAGTGACTTATCAGAAAGGTGGTTAGCCAGTGGCCTGAGGTTAGGACTGAAAGAAGGGGTAGCTGGGTTTCAGGAGTGGTTACCATTTACCAATCTCTTTCAAAAATGCCTCCCCCTTTCCCTCCCCTCCACTCTCTTCCCCTCCCCCCGCCTCTCTGGTGTGGGTGCTGGGTCTTAAAACTCAGAACCTCATGCTGTCACTTAGCTTTTTCCCTCCAGGATAATGCTCTACCACTGCACCTCCACTTTGAGCTTTTTGTTAGTTGTGATAAGAGTTTCTCAAGCTTTGTCTGCCCTGGCTGGCCTTGAACGTCAATCCTCCGATATCAGCCTCCTGAGGAGCTAGGATAACCAGGCCTGAGCTTAGTAATTCTTGTTTCTCAAATTGGAATATGAGAGCTGAGAGCTGTAGCTCTAGTTGAGTGCTTGTCTGACATCTGTTCAATCCCCAGCACTAGGAGAAAGGGGGAAAACAAGCAACCGGCTTAAAGAGATAAAGTGAAATCGTATCATTAGGATGTTGGTCCCCTGCCTGAGAAGTCCCTTGTGCCAGCTTTTGCCGAAAAAGCACTACTACCTTACTTTGTGCCTTTGAATTAACTAAAGGCAAGAGAAAGGCTTGGTATCTCGGTGCCCATTTGTAGACCTGTTTGTTTTGTTCTAAACCATATGCTTCGTAGTCCCCTCAGAACTAGAGAAGGATAAGAACAGACATCTTTAAGACAAGAGACTGAAATTACCCCTAAGGAACAGCAGAGCCTTGAAGGTCACATCCTCCCCACCAAATGAAGACAATTACCTACAATGATTGGGTTGTATCCTGGAGCAGGAGGAATTACCTCATGGGAACTGGTTGTTCCCCTCAAATGGGACAGGGATAATTTCTCTGGAACTCATGGAGAACCAGAGCTGAAATAAGGATTGACTGGCCCACACTGGTAGTTGGGATTGTGTATGTGGATCTTTTACCCCCTCTTCCAATTGTTCGTCTATTCCAAGCTAAACCTCATGTCTACAATCTTCAGATGGCTAAAGTATTTATTTTGCCTTTTCCCAGGCTATGTCATAAAACTCTTTTTATCTGGCCTTCACCATTATCACCATTTATTTACTGAGTATATTTTTAGGACAAGTGGCCAGACCTGATATGTGAAATCCCAGGAGTTTACAGCTGGAGGCTAAAACCTAGGTTTCAAAGGCAGGCTTGGGTTTACTTCTCTCCCTTCTTGGTGAGGATTCAAGGCCTGAAGAGGCTGGATTTTCCCTTGGGAAATATTTGACTCAGGTTCAAGGAGTCATCTCCTTTTCTTTTCAACTTGGTCTTACCACACTTAGTTTCATAAAGAATAGAAACCCCCTTATTCTATGGATGCATGATGTGAAGCAGGACATTTACCTAAAATTTTAGAGGCTAAGCTTAATAAAAGGATAGAACACCTAAGGTAAGAGCATTGTATGATGGCAGATTAAAAGACAGAAAGGGTTCCAAAATGCATTTCAGGAAGTGGAAACGAGAGTTTTTTTTTTCTTTCTGTTGTATGTTTTCTTTTTTTGGGGGGGGGTGGGGTCCAGTCTTGGGGCCTGAACTCAGGGCCTGGGCTGTTCCTCAACTCTTCAGCTCAAGGCTAGCGCTCTACCACTTGAGCCACAGCGCCATTTCCGGCTTTTTTCTTTTTGCTTATGTGGTGCTGAGGAATCAAACTCAGGGCCTCATGCATGCAAGGCAAGTGCTCTACCACTGAGCCACCTTCTCAGCCCCATGTTTTCTTTTCTTTTTGTCTTGTTTGTTCATTTATCTGTCTTTGGGAGGCAATAGAAATGGAGGCAAAAGGTGAAAAATGCAGCAGTGGTACTCACCAGACACTATATGGAAAATGAACTATACAACTTATGTGTGGGGACGAGAGGGAAAAACTGAGGTGATCAAGGGAAGGGGTAACAATGTCCAACAGGAAATGTACTCTTTACCTAACTTATGTAACTACAACCACTCTGCACATCACCTTTATAATAACAATAAAAATAAAAATAATACATTTTTTTTAAAAAACAGGGGAAAAGAGCAAAGCAAGTCAATTGGTATGCCTTCTAAAAAAATTATTAGTTAGGCCAGGCACTGGGGGCTCACACTATAATCCTAGCTACTCAGGAGGCTGAGATCTGAGGACCATGGTTCAAAGCCAGCCCAGACAGGAAAATCCATGAGACTCTTATCTTCAATAAACCACCAGAAAACCAGATATGGCACTGTAGCTCAAGTGGTAGAGCACTTGCCTTGAGCTGAAGAGCTGAACAGCACCCAGGCCCAGAGTTCAAGCCCCACAACAGACAAAAACAAAAAAAATATTAGTGAGGCACTGATGGCTCATATGTGTAATCCTAGCTACTCAGGAGGCTGAGATCTGAGGATCAAGGTTTGAAGACAGCTCAGGCAGGAACACTTATCTGCAATTATCCACCAAAAAGCTGGAAGTGGAGCTCTGGCTCAGTGGCAGAGTGCTAACCCTGAGGGATAGTGCCCAGGCTGAGTTCAAGCCCCAAGACAAGCACTGGCACACATAGACACAGACACACAGACAGACAGACACGGACACAGACACAGCCACACACACACACGCACACACACATACACACGCACATACATATGTGAGTGGGAATGTGTGTGAATGTGTGTGTGTATTATCCCATGCCATAAGGGAAGCACAATGGCTGGGTGCAGTGGCTCCAACCTATCAACTCAGTGACAGAGCAAAGCAGGCCAGTTTGGGCATAAAGTGAAACTCTGTCTTGAAAAATCACCAAAGGAAAAACAGGCTGTTGGAATGGCTCACATGGTAAGCATTTGCTTAGCAAGCACCAGGCCCCGAGTTCAAACCCCAATACCATTCAAAAAAAAATAGAAAAAATATATAGACCCCAAAGTCATTCCATCAGTTCTCCATTTATAAGAGCTGCTGGTTTTTAATCCTTCCTGGGTTCATACCAGTGCTCTACCTTTAGAAGACAATACAAATATTCCCATCATTAAACATGTGCTATTCATTTATTCTGCTAAGACCATGAACACTAAGAAAACCAGTAATTCATCTGAAGTTCTTGTGGACTCCCTACCACTGCCTTTATGTTTTTTGCTGGGGTGGGGTGGGGGGGACTAGTGGGGTTTGAATTGAAGGCCTCAGCTTTATTACTCCAGGTTTAGTACTTGATCCATACCTCTAGCCCTTTTTGCTTTTAGGTTATTTTTTCAGACAGGTCTCAATGTTTGCCTAGGGCTTGCTTTGGACAGGTGATCCTCCTACTATACCTCCTTTGCAGCTGTGATGACAGGCTGCACCAGCATGCCTGGATTGTTTGTGGAGATGGGAGTCTTACTTTTTGTTAGTAAGACTTTGAATCTTGATCCTCTTCATCTCAACCTCCAGAGAAGCTGTGATTACAGGCATGAGCCACCAGCTACCATGTCCTATCCTTCCGCCCCCTCCCCGTTTTTCTTTTGTTTTAGCCTCTTTACATGTCACCTTTTCTCCTAGAAGTTGGTAGGTAGCAGTTAAAAGCAAAAAAAATAAATAAATAAAATATGCTGAACTGATACAAAAAATACTATTAAAATATATAGTGTTAGCCAAGCAAAATGACTCATAATTGTAATCCTAGCTACTCAGGAAGCTGAGATCTGAGGATCCAGGTTCAAAGCCAGATTGGGTCTGGGCACCGGTGGCTCACATCTGTAATCGTAGTTACTTAGGAGGCTGAAATCGGAGAATGGCAGTTCAAAGCCAACCTGGGCAGGAAGATCCCTGAGACAATCTATTTACAGTAAAAAGTTAGAAGTGGAGCTGTGGCTCAAGAGGTAAGAGTGCCAGCCTTGGAGAGAAAACACTAAATAAGAGTACAAGGTCTGGAGTTCAAGCCCCAGTACTAATACACACCTGGTGTCCACATAAGGTAGGTATGCAGACAAGTTAGATGGTCAGGTACTCTACCTAAAAGCCGGAGCTAGAGTGGGGCTAGCCAGTCTGAGGAAGACCCAATCTGACCGAAGATGCCTGCTTGTCATATTGGGTGGTGTACCCTACAACGCCCAAGAATGGCTACAGGAAGCAGATAGCAGATCCCACAACTGCTTCTATCAGCTTACCCCCGCAGTGGCCAGGCAGCGGTAGAGAGGGCCAGAGACAAGCACAAAGAATGATTTCTAGTGCTCAGTGGATTCCCCAGCTCAAGCTACGTGGGGGTGCTCATCACAGCTGGCATCACAGCTGGCCGTGGCTCAACCTTGACCTTGAGTAAGTGAACTTATCCTCTCGTATCATCAGGTTAGCAGGCCACCCGGGCCTGCTAAAAAGTTGGTTACCAATCTTTCCTTCACCTTTTCTGGATCAGCCTGAAGGGTTCCTGCGAGACGGCTGTCACCTCGGTTGCTTTGGGTTCTTCCATTTGCCAGTTTTCATGGACATCCACTTCTCCAGTTCCAAGTCCCGGGCCTCTGGGACACGCTTCCCTACAGTCCCGGTGTCCCCTCGCCCTCCACCCCCACCCCGCCCCTCTGCCTTACCTTCTCCTGGGCTCTGCTGAACTTCTTCTGCACCTGCTTGGCGAAGAGGCCTGCTGCACCGCCCGCCTTGCCCTCCGCCATGCTGCCTGCCGGCTCCCCGGGGGCGGCTGGCCTGGGCAGGGCCGGGCCCTGTGGTTTCTACAGGCCCCAGAGGAGGAAGTGCGACTCCCAGCAGGCCTTGCACCTCCGCTGTGGGGGCGGTCCCTGCCTCCCCCACCCCACCCTGCATGGGCCCAGCCCATCCTGACCACCCAGAGGCCCTGTCCCCAGGCCCACTGCGAGCCCAGGCCCGCTGCTGGCCACCATAAGGCCTAGGCCCAGCTGGGGTGGGGCCTGAGCGGGCTGTGGGCCCTGGGGACCTGAGGCTCTGGAACCGGAGGAGGAGGGAGAGGGGAGGAGGGAGAGGAGGCAGAGGCCGCCTGGGGCAGGATTCGGCCTGGCCTGCCTTCAGTTAGCCCTTACTCTACTCCAACTTTCCAGCCCCAGCATCCCCACACTCCCCTTTGGAACAATGGCCCCAACTGAATGGGACCTTCCCGTGTGGCCTAAGTAAGCGGCTTTCCTCTCAAGATGATGAGGACCTGAGAGGCAGAGGGAAAGGAACGGAAGGACTTGATATTGGATAGAGAAAGAGGGAGAGGGAGAGGAGGAGAGACAGAGACAGAGAGTCACAGAGACAGAGAGACAGAGAAATGCAGAGATGGAGGTATAGTTGAACACTGAGAAATGACAATAGTGGTGTGTGCTGACATCTGTGCATCCCCTAAGAAACTCTCTTTAGGACCAATATCTTGGGAACTGAAATTCTCTCTTGTCCACCCAGCACTGGACAATAACTGAAGGGAGGCAGAGGTATTGTTGAGTTCCATTCTCAGAGGGTGTTTACAGACTCGAGCTGGGGCTGGGAAAGGAACACTTAGAGTGCCGCATAACAAGATGGAAGGAGAATGTGAACTTGCACACAGATTGTGTCAGTTGGGGCAGGGCCAATGAGATTGTCGTTATTCTCTAGGGAAAAGGTCTCTGGATGGAAGTTTCTTTTCTGTCCCATTTGAATGGATAGCTGGAAGTTAGGATTCTGTTTGAGTTAATCCACTTACTCAAAGATTTTACAGGGCAAGTAGAATTTCAGTGAAAAAAAAAAAAAAGGGACTTTCTGTGCAGTGTAGAGGGAAAGTGCAAGTCTGCCACAAAATTACTTGGTGTTTTTTGTATTTTTTCCACTTCTCCTCTCCCCACCATACTGCAGTCAAGTGAGCTGTGCCAGGCTTTGTGAGGTGTTGGGAAGCCAAAATAAAATGCAGTCCTTAACCTTAAGATGCTTAACATCTGGAGGTGGAGATAGGTTACTAATCAGATTATTATACTGTCTTTTTTTTTTTTTTTTTTGTAGTACTAAGGTTTGAACCCAGGGTTTCTCACTCATCTTGCTTGCTGTACTAGTACTCTCCCACTTGAGCCATGCTTCCAGATCAACTTTTTACTGGTTAATTGGAGATGGACTCTCACAAACTCTTCTGCCTGGGCTAGCTTAGAACTGTGATCTTCTGGATCTCAGCCTTCTGAGTAGCTAGGATTACAGACGTGAGCTGCTGCTGTGTAGCTTGTCATAGTCTTAATTCATCTATAACAGTGGCTACAACATTTTTCAGGCAATAGGTGGTTGGGGTTTATTGTGATTGTTCACTTTGGTGTGGGCCCAGAAGAGACGAGTGAAACAAATAGAGGGACATCACGGTGGAGGGAGAGGAGGGGAGTGAATAGCACTGGAGCACAGTGGTATTGCAGAACAGTGAGAGAAGGTGGCGGTGACCACAAATGTGTCATTAGCATGAGGCTAATGCCTGCATCACTCCCAGGACCTCATATTGCCCTTAGCAATATATTTACCTCCTTAGAGAAACTCCCTTTAGTGTCAATAAAGGATACCAAATCATGTAGTACTAGAGCAGGTACAACCCACAGAAGTGAAGTAGATGGGGAAATTGAGTCACAGAAAAGGCTGAAAATGCGCCCAAGGTTACCCCACCCTCAGTCATGGAACTGGGTCACAGATAACCTCAGTCTCAACCGTTCATGTTTTGAGGCCCTGTCTCAGGCAGTTCCTCCCCAGTCCCTCCTTTGTCTGCAGTGATTGCTGTGAAAAGCTAATTCTCATCCACACAGACTTCTTTCAGTTCCCTCTTCATTTTTTTCCTAGGCTACTCTTAACACACTGAGGCCTGGCCAGGAAAGAGCAGTTACCAGTTTCCTAGCTCTTGGTGTAAACCCTGGGTAAACCCTGGATCCGGTTGGTATGCCTATTATAGTTGCAGGCTGAAAGTGCTGATTCACACTGAGGATCAGGCTCTATTGCTGCCTCTTCCTCTCTTTCTGCCTCTTCCCCTCAATACCTTCCCTTTTTTGTCTAGTTTCTTCTTTTCTCCTTTACCCTCCTCCTTCTTTCTACTTTGTTCGTCTGCTGGCATCTGACTACTTCCTAACCCATCTCCTCTCTAGATCTCTAGAGCATCCTACTAGCAGTTGGTTCCTAGGAGTTTGGACTGAGTACCAGTTGTAGGCACTAAAAGGGGAGGAAACAAGAAGTGGCAGCCCCTGGTCTACGTTGGAGAGTTAGGGCACTTATAGTCACTTGAAAAGTTGTTGTTGTTGTTGTTTTGGTGTGTTTTGGTTTTTTGATGCCATTCCTGGGGCTTGAACTCTCAGGGCCTAGGACTTGGCCTTGAGCTTTTGTGCTCAAGGCTAGTGCTCTACCACTTGAGACACAGCTCCACTTTTAGATTTTTTTGGTGGTTGAAAGTCTCATGGACTTTCCTGCCCAGGCTGACTTGGAACTACGACCCTCAGATCTACAGCCTCCTGAATAGCCAAGATTACTCATGTGAGCTACTGGTACTGGCTTTGGGAACCTTTTTTTTGGGGGGGGGTCCAGTCGTGGGGCCTGAACTCTGGGCCTGGGCGCTGTCCCTTTGGCTTTGGGAAGCTTTTAAAGAACTTTGTACCTGTGATAAAGCAAATATGACAGGAGAAGGGGACAGAGGAAAAGATTAATGCATAAGTAGCTCCTAGAATAATCCCAAATAGTGATGTACAACAGCTCCCACTAGGCTTAGTTTGTGGACTGATATGGAGAGCAGCAAAGAGAAGCAGCAGCCCACAGAAATGGTAGGTCCAGTGTAGGCCCAGAGCTGCTTTGCCTCTCTAGAGGGCTTAGGTACAAGCAGAAACAGGGTTGGTAAGAATATATATTTCGTTTTATTTACTTTTCTGTATCTGGCCCAATAGTGCCTCTGAATGTTTTTTTTCTTTTTATTCTCTGAGTGCTGGGCATTGAGCTCTACCACCGTGCTCTTACTGGTTGACCTCAAGTCCTATTGCAGATCTAAGAACCATCTCCGAAAGGCCATGAGACTCAGAAGAATGTTCAGTTGGATGCAATGACCTAAAGGAAAAGACAATTATATCTATAGTTAGTAACTGTGTATGTGCGGGGGTGGGGGTGGGGTGATTGGGACTTGAATGCAGGGCCTAGTTCTCTTGCTTGGCTTTTTCCACTCAAGGCTGTTACTCTTCCACTTAAGCCACACCTCCACTTCTGGGTTTTTGCTAGTTAATTGGAGATAGGCATCTCATGGTCTTTCCTGCCTGGGCTGGTTTTGAACCTTGATTCTCAGATCTCAGTTGCCTGCAAAGCTAGGATTACAGATGTGAGCCACCAGCTCACAGCTTGTAGGTTTTTGTTTTGATTTGAATTTTTAAAAAAGCCTTTCCTCCTCTCCCTCCCTTCTGACTGGGGATTGAACTGAGGGCTTCCTATTTAGGTAAATACCCTACCACTTGAATTACGCTTCTGTCTATCACTCTTCTTCATTCTTTTTTTTTTTTCTGGATCTGGAATTCGAACTTAGTACCAGATGCTTTGCTCATTAGCTGTTGCTCTTATCAATTGAGCCACAGCTCCAACCCCTGACGTCTACTTTAATCTTCCTTAAGGCTTCCAGTTAGATGCGGCTATGTACTCGGTTTACCGGAAGGAGGGCAGACAGTAGATTTGAGATGTGTCAGGACACCTCAGTACTATAAGCACATACCCAGGTCCTAGAGGCAAGGACAAACCTTGAAATGACCATGAGCCCAGATGCACAGAGCCAGTCTCCAGGATGTGTGTGGAGGTTGGCAGGTACAGTGCCAGGTGTTGTGGTCTGATGCTACTAAGTCACTATAGGCAGAGTTTAACTCTCAAGTACTATTTAAAGTTTGACTATGGTCAAACTTCTTTTAAAAGTTAAAGCAGCAGGGCACCAGTGACTCATACCTATAATCCTAGCTACTTAGGAGGTGGCGATCCAAGAATCACAGTTTGAAGCTAGCCTGGGCAGGAAAGTTGACAAGACTCTAACAACCAGAAAAAAGCTGAAATGAAGCTGTGACTCAAGTGCTAGAGCACTCACCTTGAGCAAAAAAGCTCAGGGACAGCGCCTAGGCCCTGAGTTCAAGCTCCAGTGCTGGCTGGTACATGTGCAAACACACACACATACACAGCAAATTCTCACAGTGCTCTTAGAGGGAAAGGAACTGCTAGGCCTTTCTGAAGCTTTCCCCCTTAGCTTTGACTTAGGACAGCACTGCCAGATGCCTGCTTCAGATCTGCTGCTGGTACTTGGGGGAGCAGTGAGGCCATGTTAAGTCAAGATGGCAATGTCACCAAATGAACATTCACTATGTAGGGAGGGGAAAGAATAAACACATGAACGGAGAAGGAAGACAATGGCATCCCTAGCCAGTGTGGAGACCTTCAGGGGACCCCATTGTACCCTATCATTTAAGGGGACTCACATTATTCAGCCAAGAGATGTAAGCAGAAACCCGGGTGAACACTGTTGGCTTCCTGGAGACATTGCAGCCCAGGCTGGACACAAAGCTGGTTACTCCGTGGACAGAATACTGGCCGTTCACCAAGCAGTGCAGGGGGCCTCCAGAGTCACCCTGCAGGGAGAGAAGCACAGTCCTCAAACTCCAGCCCACCCATCGCTGTGGTGAAATTCTCTAGGCTCTAATTCAAATCTCCACTTTCAAGATGGGCATCAGTGGCTCACGCCTGTAATCCTAGCTACTTGGGAGGCTGAGATCTGAGGATCACAGTCCGAGACCTAACCAGATGGGAAAGACCATGAGACTATTATCTCCAACAGACC